TGTACAGATTAGCCACTTTGTAAATTATCTCTGGCAATGGCTACTTCACAGGTCCATAAATTCACAATATAGAAATAAGTTTTCATATTAAGATAGACATGATTTGAAAGGAAAGTCTGATTTCTCTCCGCTTACCCCAGCAGGTATGTTTGGTAAGTGTTTGGGGCGTTGTTCCTTATCTGAGATTATCCTGGTAATTCTACTTCCTCTTATTTGATAATATAGAATTGGCTGTAATTTATGATTCTTGGGTAAACTGCTATAAAACAAAAGCAGGAACAAGCATGGATTCAGTAACCAAGATGAAAAAAGAAAACAAATTCTTCATGTACTGCAAGGAGATCAATCTTCCTCTAGATCCCACAAATGAAATTTAGAAACCTAAACTTTGCATGCAGATGTGTCGCCCAGAATAGAGCCACCCCGAGGCCTAGCTCCAGCTCATCTTCTTTTCACGTTCGTGGGAGTGGGATCTTGCAGAGAGCTGGGAGTTATCCTCCCAGGGGGCCAAGGTGAGGTCTGAAATGATAGATAACAGAATTGGGTAGTGAGGAATAGTGCCTACAGTGAAATGCAATTTGGATTTTCCTCATAGTGCAGTCTTTTATAGGAATCTATCTGAGATTCTTGGAGCAGAGTTATTCCCACCTCTGGTTAGAAATGGAGGGTTTTTATGTTTTTGTCACATCAGCTGTGACTGAGGGGTTACCACCCAGAACTTCAGCAGCAAAGGAACTCTGGATACCTCACTCTGCAAAAAGCTCTGGCACTATTTTTACTGTAACACATGGGGTTTAATTTTGTTCTTCATTTTTGGAATTGTGGCGTGTAGATGCAGCCTATCCTCAGCTCTGTTCCACCGATGACTGTGGAAGCACTGGATGGAGCAAATAACAAATGACTGACTGGTTGCATATTTTCTTACCATAAGCCCCAGGCAAGTGCCAGGAGGCTTTGGCGATGTGAACACTTCCACTATAATCCAGAGTTCCCTTTCCAAACTTCATCCAAGGAGACTGGATAAATTGAGATATGCAGTGAGCCCTTCTTTGAGGTTTCCAGATTTATCACCATCTGAGTAGCCCCCAGAACCCTGTGAAGAAAGAGCATTCAGATCCTCGGAGAAAGGAAGTAATGAGGGAATGAATGTATATCCCTTCCCCAGGTCTGGCCACTTATTTATTCAGCAGCCTTGTGGGCATGTAAATCTAAGATTAGAATATTCACTTATTTTTGGTATGTTGTGGAGATGAATCCTATTTGGCCTTGTTCCCTCCAGATTGTGTATGTGTATGAATAAGTGATGACTGTGATACGGACACAAAATCAGCAGTATATCACTAACTTGACTAATGCTATGAATTTTATTTAAGGACTTCATTAACTCAGCATAGCATAGGGGATTTTATACAGCTGTCTCGATGAAAGGCCCCTTTAAGGAAGAAGAAAAGGAAAAGAAAAGAAAAAAATCCTTCTGTTTTATATTCTTATTTTCTTCAACCTTGAGATGAAACAAAATCCCTTTTGTAGAACTTCTGGATAGCAAAGAACACAGCTAAGACTTTGTAGAAACTGCTCTTACCCTAAAATTGAAAGGCATTATTTTGAATTTCAGTACTATCTCATTCTAACCGGTTGATCTTGGGGAAGTAACTTTTTTGCATTTCCCAGATTTTTGCAAATATACATGAACAGGAAAGCCAATAAGTGAGACCTAGGGTCCAGGAAACTTTCAAAAACACAGGGAAGTCACATTGGGCTTTGTTTACCTAACCCATCAGAAATAAAACTATCCTGCACTCTGAGGGCCAGAGAGAAGGGACTCACTGCATGAATCCTAGACTAATTCTACAGATGTTATATAGTAGACTGAAGAGAGAGTGGTGGCAAACTGAGGAGTTAGCGCTGGTTCCCTGGCTCCGTTGGGTCAGTGCAGAGAAGCAGTGGTTCTTTATGGATGGCTTTGGGAACTAGGAAAGAGTTACCACTGTGCACACCTTGTCTGCCTTCAAATTTTTAGTAGTAATAATGATAAATCTATTGAAGATATACTGTGTATCAGGCCTACTTTAGTGCAAGAAGACAGAAAATTGAATAAGTTACAGGATATTTCACAAGGATTTCCTGTAGATGAAGAGACAGTCCCCTGTGCAACCAGTCACAGTAAATGTCTGACTGACTGTAAAGTGAGCTCTGAGGAGACAGAGCAGAGTTGGAGTGGAGGCCAGAAGACTCGGAAGGAATGCTAGACAGAAGAGGTAGCATTTCAACTTGGCCTTGAATCTTGACAGACACACACAGCTTCCAAGCAAAGAAGGGGTACAAACTAGCCTTGCAAGCCTGCGTCTGCTTTTGGGAAATGGGCTGTGGCTAAGGCGTGGCCATGGAGGACTCCAAGCAGGAAAAGTTGGCAGAAATGATGAGATAAGGTTTGAAGACAAAGGCATGGCTCAGACCTTGCAAGACTTCAAAGGCCACAGTTAGTTCTTTTGCTTCGCTCAGGAGAAGGCAGAGGAGACTGGGAAGGAGGAGGTGATGGGTAGAAAGAAGGGAACTTAGAAGATCTGGCGTTATGGTTCTTCTCCAAGACTGTCTGTCCTTGCGTGGACACTTGCCCTCACAAAGGGCCACTTGATTTCCTTTAGCTTCAGTTTTCTGAGCTGGATAGTGGAGGCATTCACAATAGTGTTTGCCCTCTATGCTCAAGGATTATTGTGGTTGTAGCCTGCTGAGAGTTTCCTTTTTCAAGGTCTTGCTCAAAATAATACCTCTTAGTAAACCTTTCTTAACTCCTTCAGAGCTTAAGTGAAAGATCAAGATACACAGACAGGAAAGGATAAGGAATGTAGCCAAAGAAAATACTAAGGTTTGAAAAACTTAGAATTTGAGAGCACGCAGGCCTAGTTCTAACCCTTGCTCCATTTCTTATTTAAACTTGATCAAATTGCTTTAGTTTTAAATTGAGAATGAAAATACTCATTCTGTGTTCTCTTCAGAAAGCTTGCAAAGATTAAATGAGTGACATATGTGAAGGGGCTTGGTGAATTAGAAAGTGTTTCCCAAATGCTACTTGCTATGTTTGTCACTTGAAATTTGGAAATGATACAGTCCGGTGGCATTTTTTAAAGGTATGTACCTATGAGGTACATGGAATTAAGGGAAGAGAGAGAGGTGGTCGAGAGAGTAACTCAACACTACTGCAGTTAAGGAAAGATTGTGTGAGCAAGGTAATAAGGATGACGAGAGAGGGTGGATTCAGGAGTCCTTTTGAGGATAGTGCCAACAAAACAATGGCACTAATTGTACTTGAGGGATGGAAAGGAGCAAAGAGCTAACGGTATGAACTTTGGTGGATGGTGACACTGTGAACCACCCCGGCTTTGTTACTTTCTGATTGCTGGAATGTAGGAAAGAGAGCAGGACAGAAGCTATCCTGGTGCTTGACTTCTGTTCCCTTGACCCTCACCAGCACTGCCTGCCCTTCATTTTAACTCTTTGCTTCTCATCACAGTACCTTTAATAGAAGCTACTGAAGCACTAAGCAAGTTGGGAAACCTTGTCCCCAAACCCTCAGATTTACTGTAACCATAGTAACCGTAGAACCTGTCCCTGAAGAAGCCAGCTCTATTTTGGCAGCAGGGCCAGGTGAGACTACCTCCCTATGGAGGTAGACCAGCCCGTCCCCTTCTTCTGCACTGTCCCTGGGTGCATCTCTCAGTCCTTGGCTTAGCTCTCCTTCCCTGGACATGAGGGTAGAGCTGGGAGGATCCAAAATGCTTGCTGGACTCTCATTTTCAGGATACAGCTTTTTATTTATGGTGATAACCTTAAATAAGTGGAGCAGCTTCTGGGGCAGATAGAAAGCACTTGAACCATGGTGGGCAGGACTGCAGTACCAAGAGGGAATTTCTGCCTGCAAGTGTGTCTGGTGACGAGGAAAGCAGCCTGGTTACTGGAGAAGCCAATTAGCTAATAACTCCTTCCCCATTTGTTCAACCACTGCATGTGGTCCTTCATCTTTACCCAGGAGCATTTTTAATCATCTTTTCTCCTCCCTGCAGCTCCCATGGAGCTTCAGTCTTCTCTTTTTCTTGTCCCAGAGTGTGGCTTTGTGTTCTCTTGACTTCCTTCTGTTTTATCCTTTGCTACCTTCTTACCTCACCTTCCGACTGTCTTTCTATTGGGAACCTACCTATGTCCTTTCTTTTATTATTTGACCAACACCAGGCTGTCTTATAGCCCTTCAAGTCATCTGTCCACTGGGCTTATATGTCCCTCCTTATGGAGGCCAGAAGTGGGGAGATCACTGTAAGCCATTGGAGCCATCCAGATAGGAGATGATGATGACACCACAGAGTTCCCATCCCAGCGTATTACTTCATGTACCCCAGCCTAGGGTGCTCCACGTGTTAGAGGCAGAGTTTAATAGTGCTCAGTTTAGAGAATGTCTATGAGGCTCAAGTGAGTTAGTATGGAAAACTTCACACAGGACTGGCACATAATAATTTGTCAATACATATTGGTCACTGTTGTTATCAAAAGTAGAAAGGATAGCTCCTGAGAAGGCTAAGGGCTTCCACTGTGGCAGAGAGATTGAACATGGCATTTTGAAAATCCAGTTGGTGCATGGCTAAAAAGTTCCTGTCAAAATAGGGCACATGCCTGCCATCCCAGCTACACATGAGGCTGAGGCAAGAGTTTCACAGGTTGGAGCCACTTAATGAAAATTTGCCTCAAAATACAAATTGTATAAAAGGTGCTTGGGATAAAATCCAGTACTCTATGGCCTCTGCACCCAACACCACAAACAAAACAGTGCAGTGCAAAGGGCATTGTGCCTGGCTGGCGTGCCGGCTGGGCAGGGCTCCCATGAGAAGCTGCCCTGCAGCCCAGGCCAAAGAACTGTGGAGGTGGAGGGTCTGGAGGAACCTCCTCACACATGCTTTCTCTTTGTCATGGTATTGTCTAAACTCAGTGACTCTTATCCTTCTTATCCACAGGGAATTTGCCAAAGAGAGAGAGCGAGTGGAGAACAGGAGGGCATTCATGAAACTGCGACGCCAGCAGCAGATTGAGCGCGAGCTGAACGGCTACCGGGCCTGGATTGACAAAGCTGGTGAGGCTGTGGGCTGGGAGGGCTGGGAGTGGGCTGCCTAGGCCTCCAAGGCCACGCCCTCCCTGTGTTTCCATTTAAGGTCAGTCTAGAAGAGAGCAGAGAGCAGCCCTGATTCCCTTGTAAGGTGTTTGGTTTCCTGCTGGTCCCACTTTCTTTGGTTGCGGTCTGACTTTCCCATTTCTTCTATCAGACACTTGTCACAAAGCAAGCATATTAGCAGGATGAACAGAAGAAAAATGTAATCCGAGAGTTGAGGTTGGAATGGTGACTTTTATACTCACCCCCTGCTCCCACTGACAGTCCATACATGTAGCAAATATACATTATGCACCTACTTTGTGCCAGGCTGTCTCCTAGGCTCTTGAGTTACAGCCATAAACCAAATACACAGACTCCTGAAAACTCTTGTCTTGAGGAGTTCATTCTTTTCTAGACAGGAAAGGAAACAATAAACAAAATAATAAAGACAGTAAGTACAATGAGCAAAAAGACCAAGATTAGGTATGGGATGTGCTGAAATTGTAAATAGAGAGCTTGGGATAGGCCCATCTGTCTGTAGACCTGAAGGAGATGAGCAGGTGAGCCGCAGGAAGATGTGGGAAAAGCACAGGTTCCTAATAGGGGAAGGGCCAGGTGTGAGTCAGGAGCAGAAGGGAGGCGGACAAGGGGAGAGTGACAGAAGATGAAATGAGGGTGGTTCTGGGAGTGGGCAGCAGTCGCATGTAACCGTATGGGCTGTTGTAAGAGTTCGGGGCTTTAGTGTAGGTAGTAAAAGCACTGGCATGCTCAGACTTAAGATTTTGAAGGAGCATTTGGTTGCTGCTTTGAAAACAGTGCATAAGAAGACGAGGCCAGAAACAGGGAGACCTGTGTAAGGCCATGGCAGGTAGCAGATGATGACAAGCACAGATCTTTCCTAAGGCCTGGAGTGTCCTCACTTCCCACCCTATAGCCCAGCATCAAGAGCACCTGGGGCCCAGCCCTGAGGATGAGTCCATGCCACCATGATTTCATTATCACACAGAGCCACCAGATTCAAGTTTGACTGTGGCTCAGTTGATTATGAGGGACATCCATCAGTCACCCTTCATCTGTCAATAAAAAGGATACATTTGTTTGTATTATTCTTTAAAAGTTGGAATATATATATTTTCATTTTCTTCCACGGAGGAGTGATATTGTAAAATAAAATTTAAAAATAAAATAACACATGGCAGAGAGCATCCTTCTCTATTCCTAGTAGAAAGCCTAATGCAAATGTGAGGTCCCACAGGAAATTTTAGAGTATGATTTGGTGCTTAGTTGCCTGAGCTTTCAGCTTCTGTAGGAGCTTTAGAGTGACCTGAGGTCCCCTTAGTCTGACCATCAACACATGAAAAGGCCACAAAGTTCTGGAGTCAGCCTCTGATTATCTGTAAGGGTTGAGAGAATGCACATATGGTTGAAAACCAGAGAAACACCCCAGTCTGGGACAGACACATTTTCTTTTTGCCTCCAAAAGTGTAAGGAATGCCTGTTGACTGAATGTCCACTTCATCCTCACTCCTTCAAGACAGTGGTCTAGGGGCTCGTGATTATGAGTCTCCCCACCTCTTCCTGAAATGGTAACTCAGCATTATCATAGGAGGGTGAGCTGATTTGCCTCCAGGGTAGGCAGGCAGCTTGCTGTTCCCAACTGTCCTTGGCATCCTCGGGGCAGAAACCATCTGACAGACTGCAGAGCGAACTGGCAGCAGAACCAGAAAAGAATCCTCCCAGTCCTGGTTGTGACCCCACACAGGGTCAGGTGACCAGCTCTGCTGCTCTTCTGTTTTGTGGCGTGCTTTTCAGATACTTGGAAAATTCCAAGGCTTCCCTTTCTCCCAGTTGGCAAAGCCAGCTCTCTCTCTCTCTAAGAAAAAAAGACACGCTGCAACGTCAAATTGTGCTTCCTGGCCCTTCCCTTTACAAATGGAGCATGAGTGAATCAGAGACATATGGGTTACATTTCCCTGGAAAGACACTCCAGTTTGAAAGCGAACTTGGCAAAAGGCATCAGTGGGGGAGGGGAGGCTTCGACACATGAAGAGCCTCAGCTTTTCCCAGAGATCCTCAGAAGCACCACACCTTCCATCTGCCATGGGGCTTTTCTCCCCAGGCCAAAGCCTGACACTTTGCAGCAAAAGTAACTCTCTGGCCACAGTAATTAATGCTGCTATGAGGTATTTTACCAAGGTCCGAATTTTAAAATGATGCCCTCCAAACAACTTGTGCTATAAAATGCCTTTAAAACATTGTCTGTCTGTATGAGGAAACATTCCACCAATAACACTTAACCTGTTAGCTCAGTGTTCTGCCAGAGGCTTACTTTAAAAAGAAAGCTAAACATTTATGACCTGGCATAATGGCCATCCCACATAGTAATGTCCAAGCCTCAAAATGGTCCCCTCCCTCAGAAATACATTGCATACTCTCAATTTTATATGCAAGTGAAATTATGGTAATGACTTTACCCTCTCCTACTCATCCTTCTACTTGTTATAAGTGCTTAAATTAAACTCTTGTTTAATTGGTACCATCACAAGCTTTTCCCCAGCATATGGGATCTTCAGGAGCGATGGTTGTGGCCATCTACTCCCTGGCCTATCTGTTGAGAGTGGTTGAGAATGGAAATCTGTCGATGTCTTTTCCAGCAAGGCACTCAGGAAATCACCAAACTTGGGATAGAAGCGCTGTTCGTTGGCCCTTTTAGAGGGATGCTAGTGAGGTTTATTGTAACAGGACTTTGTAGAGAATAGTACCCCTTAGATCTACCCTTGGAGTAGAGGACCCTTTAAACCTAGGGATAGTATGGTGTTTCTTCGAAACATGAAAAAGCAAATTCATCAATTAAACACCAAGTCGTTCATTTTTACAGCACTGCCTGAGTGACTAACAACTCAGTTCAAGCCTAAGAGTTAAGGCTACCCAAAGTTAGCATAGATCCTCCACAAAACTGATACCAGAAAGTGGGGGTTTCCAGGTGACCCACATTTCTCCTTGGATGACTACAAATTTGTAGGATCTTACAATCCCTGCATCTACCCACCCCTCTAGTGGCCAAAGATCCTATAATTTGCTAGAATGAGTTACAAAAGTGAGGAAGAACAATACTTCCTAGTTTATTATAAAGACTACAACTGGAATGGCTGATGAAAGAGACACTCAGAGCAAGGTGTGCCCTCTCAGCAGAGGGAGTGTTCACCAACCCAGAAACTCCTGAGCTCCGTGGATTAGAGGGATTTATGGAGATTGTATTTCTTGAGCATGCATGATTAAATCATTCGCCATTGGTGATTGAACTCAGTCTCACCTCTCTCCTCCCCAGAGGTAGGGATGCAGAGTACAGTAAAAATCTAGCTCTCCAATTATGTGGTCAAGTTTCCACATAATAGCTGCCATGCTTTAAACTAGCCAGGGTCCGTCTCCTCTCTAGGAATCATCCATTAGCATATAAAAGAGTTCTGTGCCAGGAACCACAGACAAAACCCAAATATTTATTTAGTTTTTTATTATGCCACGGGGACAAATCATGGTGGACTCAAGCCCTGCTTCACTGAAGCAAGGTAGTGATGGCAAGGAGGCACACTTCAGCCCTATAGCTCTCTGATCTTTGTGCTTCTGCCTCAGTCTCCTCCTCAAAGATATGGACAGGGTGGTGCCCAAAGCCTGGATTGATTTCCTGAATAAGGAAGTAGGAATTATGGTGTAGGGAGACAAGAGAAATTAGAAAGTTCTGTTGCTAGAAAAACTCTAGGAGCTTAGAAGAGAAAGAACCCTGAGTGAAAATAAAAACAGAAATGGAACTTTTCCACTCCTATCAGTCTAGGGGGTCCTCATCCAAGGTACAGTCCTGAGCAAGGGCATCACAGATAGACCTAGTACTCTGTGCTCCCTGGTGACACTTGGTTTCTTTCTATGCGACAGGCTTTGAACCTTTTGCTCACCGTTTGTGGCTCTGACTCAGAGCTGTCCCTGAAGGATTTTCATTTTGCACAATAATTTGGAATTTACAGATAATTTACTAAACCATTTGTTTCTCTACAGAGGAAGTCATGCTTGCTGAAGAAAATAAAAATTCTGGGACCTCAGCCTTAGAAGGTAAGGAAGTGCTACAGTGCCTTTGCCCGTCTCTGGCTGCGGCAATCTCTCTTGATCAAAAGAGAAAGAGAAAAAAAGAAAAGAGAGACGCTCTGGGATTTGAAATGCAAGTCTCTCTGCAATAAAATCCCTCATGCTTTAAAGTGAAGAGATTTGAGTCACAGATTTAAATGTCCTTTAAAGTGATGAAAATGAAACCCGAGAGTTGCTTTGTTCCAGGGCATGTGATTGATACTGTGCAATGAAAAGGCCATCATCCAACCAGTGATATATAAAGGGATCTTCTTGTACAATTTGTAGGGACCATCTTAAGACCACTTGCATTACCAGGAAGGGCATTGTTTCTGAAGAGCCAGAACAAATAGATATGAAGTGTCTGTTTACCCACTGCATTTAGATAAGTTTTAGTGAGGATTCCAGAGGCCTGGGGTTTCAGCAGGTGCTGGTAAGTGCAGAATTCGTGGTTCTGTACACAGTCTCAATCTCAGTCAACCTGGTGCAATACTAAAGGCAGACGCCTGTGACACAGAGTCCTTGCACAAGGCCTCTGGCCCACAGTCCTCAAAGTTTTGTCCAGGATGGTCTGGTGTACTTGTGGCCTCTCACTGGCCTTCCCCTTCCCTGGCGTAGTGCTTCGAAGGGCCACCATCAAAAGGAGCCGGACGGAGGCCATGACCCGAGACTCCAGCGATGAGCACTGCGTTGATATCTCCTCTGTGGGTGAGTGATCCAGTTAGACCTTCTTTTACTTCTCTGGATCTCCCATGAAAACGAAGATTCTGTCTTTTGAGAAGAACCACAAGGAGGAAAAGAACCCAAAGGATCCAGAATTTAGGATTGTAACTAAGGGAAGGCATGGGAATCTAATCTATTTGACAAATGATTTACAGGAGAAAAAGAACCAGGGGATGCTGTTTACGTGAAATGTGGGATGTGGGGGTTTTCTGAGTATGGCAGATGTTTCTCCTTCACAGATATATCCTCTCTCTCTCCTGAGTGTGATACTGAGAATGTACTTTGGGATACAGGTTGTACATCGCTAATCCAAAAATCTGAAATCTGAATGGCTCCAATACCAGAAACTTCTCAAGCGATGATATGGTGCTACAAGTAGAAAATTCCATGTCATGGAATTTGTTCCATTGCACAAATCTAAGAATATTGTGTAAAATTACCTTTTATCTATTATATATATATGACACATAAAAGAATTTCATATTTAAACTTGGGTCCCATTCCCAAGATATATTGTTAGGCATAACAAACGTTCCAGTATCTGAGAAAAAAATCTGAAATGCCTCTGGTTTCAAGTGTTTTGGATAAGATCTTCAACCTGTATTTTTCAAAGGATCCTGAAGACTGATTCCTTCTAGTGACTCAGATGTGAGAACTTGAAGTCATTTCTTAGCCATAGTAGAACCCACCTACTTCCACCGTATGAAAATTAAACTAACTCCTCTTAAAAGACCTTTGATGTGACCGAAGTTCAATCCTAGGTTTTCTTACGGATTCTGACTGAAGACAGGTTTTCTTCCCCAGAAAAATGACAGGCTATCACTCCATCCTTAACAGCAGAAGCGACTTTCAAAGCTCATTGCTACTTTACGTTGCCAGTGGCAGAAATATCACAGATGCAGAAGAAAGGTTCTGGTGACCGAAGCATCTTTAAAAGGGAAGGGCAGAGAGAAGCCCAGTCTGTTGCAAATATGAATACAACCCTGTTAGGATTCAAGATGCTAGGTGTTTGCCTCATGTCCTGCCTGGAATCTTTTGATTTGGTAGATTGAGTGCCCAGAGAGGAAAACGGGGTCATTGCGGATGGAAGTTATTTACCCCATACAAGACTTGCTCAGACCTACAATGTGGCAGTCGCCTTGCCCCGAGGCTCAAGCTGCCCACCTTGCCCTTTGGATGTCGCCTGGCCACAGAGCATGATCCCAGGATATTTTGCAACCTCATTCTTCCTCGTTTCCCCTCTCCTAGGCACACCTCTTGCCCGAGCCAGTATCAAGAGCACAAAGGTAGATGGAGCTTCCTATTTCCGGCACAAAGAAAGGCTTCTACGCATCTCTATTCGCCACATGGTTAAATCCCAGGTGTTTTACTGGATCGTCCTGAGCCTCGTGGCTCTTAACACCGCCTGTGTAGCCATCGTGCATCACAACCAGCCCCAGTGGCTCACTCACCTCCTCTGTAAGTAAAGGGTGACTGTGGGGTCGCTGCTGGGGACAGATGGATCAGTATGTGAATGAATGTGAGAGGGCAAAGTCGGCTCCACCTGGCAGTGTAGTTCTGCCAGCCCAGAGCCTATTCTACTGTGAGAGAGGCCAGAGCTATCTGCAAGGGGGTGGCTTGTTTCTTGCTGTTCCCAGCCTTCCTTTCTTATTTAATCAGGCAAACAAATCCTGACGGATGAGTTAACAAGATAATGTTACACTTGGATGCTAGAAGACCTTCACTGGGGCTCTTCAGGAGGTTTGGTGGTGTAGGAATTTGAGTTACTGAAGTCATGGGGAGAGAGTTCTTAGGGGAATGAGTCCCTCAAATGAACCAAAAAAGGAACTTACAGGGCAGCTCTGGATAAGGTTGCCACTAAGTGTGTGTGAGAGTGAGGAGATATTTATGGGTGAGCATGTGGAGGGTGGACTCCAGTTCTTCCATCAAAGGCTTTCTTTAGCCTCTGAGGGCCACCATTCACGAAAGGGTAATGATAAACCAGCCTGTTGAAATAGAGCAAAACGTGTCTGTTGATTGACCCTGGAACTCAGTCTATCTCTGCCCAGTAGGCTTTGCTGGCACTGACCTGTCACCAAGCATCCTTGCAGTGTCTTGTGGGTTCCACTGTAGGTATATGGACTTGTTGCTGAATGCGGGAGCTCACACTATCTATGGAACAAATGCTCTACCTTTAATGTTTTCAGACTATGCAGAATTTTTGTTTCTGGGACTCTTCCTTTTGGAGATGTCCCTGAAGATGTATGGCATGGGACCTCGCCTTTATTTTCACTCTTCATTCAACTGCTTTGATTTTGGGGTAAGTCTTCTGAAGCCTCCCTACCCTGCCATTTCATGTTGATAGGCTGTGGTCTCAGATAAGCAGCTTGCTCTATCGCTCGGCATGAACCCTGAAATCAGAATTTGTAGAAGGAGAATAGGTAAGATGAGCCAAAGGGAGTTCAGAAGTAAATGACTCCTGCCAAGCTAGGGCTTGATTTTTTTTCAAGTGCTTTGATTTTTAATATTTTTATTAATGTATACTACATACACTAAAAAGTGCACACTTAAGTATATAGCTCAGTGAGGTTTTTCAAAGCTACCCCAGCCAGAGGTTTGAACCACTTATTATCTTGGGGGAAGTCTGGGGGTGAGGGACAAAGAACTTAATTCTAGAGGTGTTTCCATAAGAAAGAGAAGTTTATGTATTTGGGGCTTTCTTCTACTTCAGTTTAAAATTAACATAATTATCTAGATAAACCTTCATGCAAACACACATACCCTATATTAGCAAGTCACCACCTAGAGCATTTCAAACAACTGTTTGCTTCCTGTGTAACATCTAGATGTGTGTTGCTAGTAGTTGTGAAAGTGCATCCACCTGTGTTCTTTTACTGTGCTGCTCACAGAAAGTATGTGCTACATTCATGGAATCGGAGATAACTAAGCCTTTTACCCACAGGTAAATAGAGACCATCACGCTAGGGTCATGGAACCAGTCAGTGGCAGAATGAAGCAATGGAACTTGGGGTTCCTCAGCCACTTCTCTTTCTGCCAAACCCACTTCTTTCCTGCCAAAGCCTCAGTTAGGGGCTAAAGATTTTGAGCACTTGCCAATTTGCATTTTCACTTGGAACATATGGTTCTGAGCACAGGCAATTTTCAGGCATAACAGCTAGTGAGAGACCATTTTAACCTTGCTGTCCTTGTGTACGTGCTTGTTAACATCACCGTGAGGATTTAGTTTTGTTATTTCACCCTGAACAATGTCCAGAACATAGTAGATATTCAATAAATATATAATTAAGCCAAAAAATACTTGAAATGTTAACTTAAAATTGCTACTTCTGATAACAATGTCCTGTGTCAACCAAGACTCACATGGAGGGGTGTGGGACCTCAGTGACCAAAATATACTTCATGAATTGAGAAACAAAATATTCTTGTTAGTACTAAACTTTAGGGCAATGAGAGAATGTAGGGCCTCTCTTTGATTTCTATGTTGGAACAACCTGTACAAATTCAAATTAGTTTCTGTGTTGTAAATCTCTCTTTGTTTGTTCAAGGTAAGATGAGGTGAAAAAAATTTGGATACCAAATTTGCACAGAAGTAGTGACTGCTGTTGTAGGTATCACTAAGGACAGGTGTGAGCAAACCAATATAGAGGGTGAAAGGATAAAGTTAGGAAGGGGAATGGAAGCAGTGGGAGAGGAGGACAGTCTCATTTCTCTCATTCATACATAGCGAGCCCTGGTAGAGACATGGCTGGGTGGGGAGAGGAGAATTGTAATTGCACCATAGCCCAGTGAGAGCAGCTGAGTGTGTGCTGAATCCAGAGTACTTTTCTTCTCCTCGTCTTTTGTCTTGTCTTTTAGGTCACAGTGGGCAGCATCTTTGAAGTAGTCTGGGCAATCTTCAGACCTGGTACATCCTTTGGAATCAGTGTTTTGCGAGCTCTCCGACTTCTAAGAATATTTAAAATAACCAAGTAAGTGATGAGAGCTTGGACTCTTTCCGGTATCTTTGAGAGTGGAACCTCTCTCTCTGCTTTATTGCATTTCATTCTACCCCTTCCTTGTCCACCCCACATTTCCACACCTTTCCCTTCGCTGCCTCACTCCCATTCCATTTGTCAGCTTCTCCTCCTCCAAATATCAAACTAGAAAAATATCTCTGGTACCAGATTCAGTGCCACATTCCTAAGAGGAGCACTGCCTCTTTTCCTTCAGTTCTGTAAATGCAGCTTATTTCAGAGACTGCTAGGACGGTGCTGAGCTCAGCTTGTGGGTGACATGATTTTTGGTGTCTTTTGTCATAATTGCATCTTGGTTTCATAGGTACTGGGCGTCACTTCGGAATTTGGTGGTCTCCTTGATGAGCTCCATGAAGTCCATCATCAGTTTGCTCTTCCTCCTCTTCCTCTTCATCGTTGTTTTCGCTCTACTAGGCATGCAGCTGTTTGGAGGCAGGTAAGTTCCGGAGCACTTTCCACTGGAAGGAGGTTCTGAACAGTCTCGGGCCAGTCATTGATGTACAACATGGAGGCTTGTAATGAATGATCAGCCCAAACCCTGTCTTACTGCCTGCACCTTGTAATGTGCATAGTTTATCAGTAGTCATCACTACTACCATCTTTTGAGGGAAAGTAAGAAAAAGGAACTTAGAGAAAGGGAAAGTAAGGGATGAAACTGTGGGTTTGGGAGAGGAAATTTGGTATACGAGATTTCCATTCCATTTTCTCTCTGAATTTCCTTTTCAGGTTTAACTTTAATGATGGGACTCCTTCAGCAAATTTTGATACCTTCCCTGCAGCTATCATGACTGTGTTCCAGGTAAAAGGCTGAGAGTCTAGAAATGCTATATGTGGTTCCTTGGACCACACACTAGAGGATGACAATATGACACTGTCAGGATTCCTATTTCCTGTCTGACTCCTCCCAGTTAGCAGAGTACTTTTCCTTTTTGAGCAGTTGTTACCACAATCCTCAGACTTCTGGGGCCATAGTCTTATCCATAACAAAAGAACTATGTTAGCATCACCTAGCTGTCCTTCCTCCAACACCTGTGAAGTTGAAGGACATTGAATCTGAGACATTCAGCCACAAATTGTGTTTATGTTTTTCTGAAATCTGGAGCATCTTCTAACCCATGTATCCATTCAATGAGATATCTTTGCTATGCTTCCTCCAAATCAAACAGCTTTTTAAATCAGGAAGAAAATTCAACATCAGTAGTGTTTACCCTCTTACAGACAAAAAAAAAAAAGCATTACAGTGGTTAGAACCTGGGGCTGAAGCAGATCCAGGTTTCCTCAACTGGAACTTACGGCATTCTTTGTAATAATCCTACTGTTTTGGGAGCTACATATTGGCAGCTCTGGTGACAATTAGGTAGTGATGAGGCGACCTGGCCGAGCTGGAGGAGGGAAGAACTTTGTAGTAAAGATTACAGCCTTTAATCATGATTTCTCAATGGCAAATATTCTCTTCCTTATCAATCAAACAAAACAAAATGAAACAAAACTTTAGAACTAATCAAAGGAATGACTTTTCCCCATTCCTTGGCAGGAGATCCCAGCAAGGGGGAAAATAGGAAAGAACCAACTGCAGTATTTGCATTGGCCCCATCTTCCCTGCCTCCTCAGAGCTCTGATGTGCCTGTTGTTTTCTCTGTGTAGATCCTGACAGGGGAGGACTGGAATGAGGTGATGTACAATGGGATCCGTTCTCAGGGTGGAGTCAGCTCAGGCATGTGGTCAGCCATCTACTTCATTGTACTTACCTTGTTTGGAAACTGTATCCTTTAAAATGCTTTTCTTTATGCTGATCACCTTCTTGGACCGGCAGTGAGGAGTAGGTGGTGGTAGTCATAATGATAGAGCTGGGGAATCCAAGAGACTGTCTAAATGGACATTACTAGATGTACCAAAGGAATTATGATCCAAAAATACTTGTATGATAGTTCTGTAAAGAATACAAACCTAAGTAGATGCTGAGGGTCAGACAAGACTATAATCATGAGATATCCATAAAAAGAAAGTTATACAGTGAGTCACAGAAATGGAAGACCAGTCCATTTCAATGGCACATTGATTTTCCTTTTATTCTGAAGATTACTGAATCTGGCTTTCTATGCTAGAACCAGTTTTATGTTACACTATCATCTGAACTCAAAGACAGTCAGAAAATTGAGGCTTTGGGTGTTAGAGCATGCAGTAGAAATAGATTTCATAAAGAATCAGGTGTGCTGACTGTGACATTTTCTTAAATGAATTATAGAAGTCTTCTAGGACCCTAAAGCGAAGAATGAGACAAATAAGTTAGTGTCCATTGTTGAGAGTTGATCAGTGACAGGGGCTATAGGATCTCATTGGCCTTTAAGGACAGAATAGCCTGATGCCCATTTGTCTAGGTAGGATTCAATTCCATCTTCTAGGAAGGTGAGATGGCAGAGAGCTCCTTACATATCTTGATGTTCACTGATTTTCTTATTAGTTATGGGGTCAAGGCCATAGATGTCAGATCTCCTCATGCTATATTGCCTCCTGAGTAGTTTGAGTCAGACATTTCTTTGCGCTGTGTGAAGGAAAAGATGATGTATGAAAGAAGGGAAGTGTATCTTTTTTTTCCTTCCAACTCAGCCCCTCATGCCTGCTGTGATTTGTAGCCACTTCTGCCAGTGTCAGACAGAAAAGTCATGGAACTACCCTTTCAGAGTTGCTGATTTTTCGCTTGTGCATTCTTAACCCATAACCCATAGATACACTGCTGAATGTCTTCTTGGCCATTGCTGTGGACAATCTAGCCAATGCTCAGGAACTGACCAAGGTAAGCGTTACTCTCTGAGGACTAGAGGATTGGAAATCCTCTGTTCTTGGAAGCTCTCTCAGGACATCTACATTTATCTAACTCAGGCTGCCAGAGATGTTTCTTTGAGGAGGTTCGAGAGAACCACGCACTCAATTTGGAAACCTGGTTCACTTTCACTGAATTTGGTGACCCTTAGACCCACCTGGGTTTGTCTCATCAGATAAAGACAATGACAGCTCATCCCTATGAGCCTTCACAGGGGTCCCTTCTAGCATTATGACATAAAGAATGATGGAAAACACTAAATTCTTGGATTTTAAACTTTTCATTTGCTATTGTGATCTAACCTTTAAGGGTTTGGGTATGAGAAGCCAGGAGCATTGTCGTTCCTGAACTATGGATGTTGGGATAGTCTGGTGGCCATGCCATTCTGGGGAAGTTTCAATTTTGTCAATTTGTTCCTTTCTTTCCTTTGATTCTGCAGGTGGCAATACTAATTGCAGTAGTCTGGTCTATGGAGATGGTTAAAAATTCTTCTCCCCACACAACACAAATTTGGTTTTAGGCAGAGACACATAGTGCCCTGGTAATGTTTCTGAGATTTTCCATATTTTTTTTCATGTGTTACCTGTTCTTCTCTACATTCCTGGGGGAGCTTCTTACCTGAATGAGATGAAAAGGAAAACGCTAGGTTAAATATCTAAAAAATTAGGTTTGAATCCCACATCTGCCACTTACTGGGCTGTTTTAACTTTGGCTAGACTCCTGATCTTCATTAATATCAGTTTTCCTCACATGTAAGGTGAGAATATACTTACCTCAGCATTGCTATGAAGAATTATGTATGTGAAAAGCAGAACTTGCTGGGAAGATATGTGTATTCCTAACCATTCTAGTCAGTTTACCTGAACTGCTTTTCCTTGGTGTCAAGACTTACATGCAGGAATTCAAGTGAGGGAAGGATGTCTCTGACTGAGAACTCAGGATGGGATACTTTGATGTGCAAGAGTGACACTGTGCTGGGCACTGAGACTTGGTGCTCACATTCAGGGCTGTCTTCATGGGACTGTGCCATGTTCCATGTGAGCCAGATACCACACAACATTTAAGCGCTGTTGGTTCCTGCTGCTGCCTTCATCAGCGGTCATGGACAGTAGCACCAAGTGCTGGGAATAGTGGACATCCACTGGGTGTCCAATGCAGCCTGGGGGGTGGGGAGAGGAAATACTCAGTGGCCTTGTGGGAGTTATGAGGCCATTGTCTCCCAAAGGGCCTGGCCTCTGGCCCTCTGCCCATTGGAGGACTCTAAGCCAACTTGATCTCATGCTGCTCTGTTAACTTCTTCCTCTTCTTGCCAAACTGTACTGGTCTTTAGAACTCCTGGAGGGAGCCAAAGGAAGCTCCTCTCCTTCATGGGGATATCAGGCAAAGCTGTCTCTGCTTTATGTCTAGGATGAGCAGGAGGAAGAGGAAGCCTTCAATCAGAAACATGCACTGCAGAAGGCTAAGGAGGTCAGCCCGATGTCTGCACCCAACATGCCTTCTATCGAGTGAGTTGGCTGCCCCTTCACAGACCTCTGGGCTGTGCTAAAGTGCATCCTTCAGTTCCTAAAGTTATTGATGTAGGAGTGTACCTCATTCATTCTAGGAACTGTTCCTGAGAATATAGCTATGAGCAAGAGAAAAGCCTCTTTTTGCATGGAGTTTTTATTTCAGTGAGGGAGGTATGTGACAAATAGGCAGGTTGTTTCAGATAGCAGTAAGTGCTATAAAGTAAATACAACAGGCTTGTCTGACAGCGAAGAACAAGAGCTATGATCAGGAGTACCTGGGGGCTGTCCTGGAGGTGTTCTGCAATGACACAATGTGTAAGTAGAGATGTACACGTGTAGAAGGCAGTTGTGTGACATTTTGAAGAAAAATTCTCCCTCACAAGGTCTAGCATGGCTGATGTTTAGTGAATAAGGGAGGCAGAAGACAGCAAAACCAGAGAGGTGGGCAGGACCCAGAGCAAAGATCCTGATTCTCAAATGAAAGATTTTAGCTTTTATTCTAATGACAATCATGGAAGGACTAAAAGTGGAAACAGAGTTATAATATGATTTCACCTTTAAAAAGTCAGCCTCCCACACTGGGGGTTTAGCTTAGTGGTATAAGCGCCTGCCTGGCAAACATGAGGTCGTGAGTTTGATCCCCCTTACTAAAAAGAAAAAAAAAGTTGGTCTCCTGTGTGGAGATTGGATTGTTGGAGCCAACGTTGGAGGCCGGGAGCCAGAGAGTTGGTTCTTCGAGTACGATAGGTGATGGTGATTTAGACCAGAGTGGTAGCAATGGAGGAGAGGAGAAGTAATCCCAGTCAGTCTATATTTCGGAATGAGAGCCAATAGGATGAGCTCAGACTAAGTACAAAAGGTGTGAAAATGGGGGAAAAGAAGAAGAAGAAGAAATAAAAATTGTTCCTGGGCTTTAAGGTTTTGAAGCCTAAACAATCGGGTATAAAGTGGTGGTATTTACTCATACTCTGGAGATGTTAGAAATCCAAAGTTTATTTTGGCCACATTAAATCTGACATATTTTAAGGCATCCAAGTGTTTGAACAGGCTATTGGATACAGGAGTCTGGAGGGTAGAAGAAAAGTCAGGATTAAAATAAAGGTTTGGAGGAAGTCATTTGCATTTAGATGGTATTTAAGCCATCAGTGTGGGTGCGATGACCCAGGGAGAGCAGGGCTGAGGAAGAGAGGAACTGAGGACAGAGGCTGAATGTGTGCCTCTGCTCACGGTCGGCCAGAGGAGAAGCCAGCAAAGGAGATGGGACAGGCACAACCAGCAGGCAGGAGAAGAGCAAAAAGCATGGCGTCCTGGAAGCCTGCAGAGGAAAACCTTGCAGAGCAGAGAAGGGTTCAGAGGTGCCACATGCTATGAAGGATCACCCTTGATGGGGACAGGAAAGGGACCACTGGCTTGGACAGAACAAAAGCTGTTAGTGACCATGCAAGTAGCTGTGCGGGAAGCTAATCCAGATGGAGTGAATTAGGAAGAGAAATGGAGAGGATAAAGCAGAACGGGTAGTAGTACACATTCTTCAAGAGAATGTAGTCTGGGGATGTGATCGATGCTAGGAGTAGGGGAGTGTGGACGCTAGGTGGGTCTGGCCTTTGTGCAGTGAGAAGGGGGAGGTCTGGAGGAAGGACTGAAAATGTGGAATTCTTGTAATTGCTCTGGGCCTGCAGAAGGCCTATGTGAGTGATCCTGGGGATCCTTGGGGAAGAACCTGAGCCCCTTGGAAGTAGAGTGCTATCTCAACACCAGACCCTGTCACCTGTTACTTGAGGATGGTAAGAAAGGCATGCATGGTAGCTCATTGTATTGTGAGGGGCTGTGAGGCACTTCCAAATTCTGTGTGTGGCCCTTCCTTCCCCAACAGCTGTCGCCTTATTTTCACCTCCTAGAACTGTGGAGGCCTGGTATCTGGCCCCCTCTTCTGTGAGTGAAAGGAAAGCATTCATTAAAGCTTGGTGGGAAAGTACCAGACAGCATTGTCAGTGTCGTCTCTGGGCCTTAAGTAGCTTCTACCCCACCTTCCCTGAACTCACGAATTTGAGCTAAAAACGCATACACACAGGTATCCAAAAATGTGGATGGATAGGACTGGCTGCTGCTTAGGAGTGGGTGGTTCTATTTACTGAGATGAGGAAGCCTGGGGGAGAAGTGGGTTTTTGGAGAGATGTGATTTGGGATGATGCTTGGCCCAGAGTAGAAACTCACTATTTATGCAATGAATGAATGAAATGTGGGCAGGCACAAGGCCGTGGGAATTGCACAGTGTGCATCAGTGTGCAAGGTGGAAGGAGGTGCTGCAAACTCCAAGATGAGCTGAGACTCAGGCTGTGGTTGTCATATGTGTGTCGTGGTGTGTACTGCTGATGACAGTGACCTCCTGGTGTGTGTGCTGTGCCAGGTGTGCCCGCCAGACCACTGGACCATAGTGCACAACTAAGTGCCAATGTGGCTGCTGTGAAGAAAAAAGACCACATTACAAAGTGCCTGAGTGCTAGTCCTAGTTATGTTGGTAACATACTCTGTGGCCTTGGGGAGAACCACTCAGGATCACAGAGCTTTGGTTTTTTCAGGAATGTAATGGGAAGGATGCTACTTGCCCTTTTTGTTACCCCAAAGCCATGGTGAGGCATACATGAGGTCACGTTCACACGACTAGGGAAATGTGTGGGTATTTCTCTGTGGGACTTTAGATATGCATGTGAATTTTCATCTTTACATATGTGAGTAGAGAGCTAAAGGGGAGCCTGATCTATGTGAGTTTGAGATTGGCCTCTCTTTCCGTGTGTGTGTGTGTGTGTGTGTGTGTGTGTGTGTGTGTGTGTGTATCCATATTCATGTGTATATGTGGAAAGAATCTATGTACTTACATTCTTACGTATGAGCTTCTGGAGGGCTGGTATTTGCTTAGTTGAGCGTCTAGATGGTTTGATGTGGTTTTCCTTGTGGGAATGCAAGCTGCCTACCTTAAGCACATGCTTTCATTTCTACAAACTGTCCGAGCTTCGTGGCAGCTCCGCTCCCCCTGCGCCTCTCTGCGGTGCAGGGTGCCATGCTGAGGGACATAGTATTTAGTTGAGGAACTCCCAAGCATCTCTAAAATCATGTCTGCATCGTCTGACACTTATGTGCATACCTGTGGCTGTGCCCCTTCTAGCTTCTCAGAGAGAGAAATTCCTAGGCCAGCTGCCTCTGTTCCATCAGGCCCACTCTTCTGTCAGGCTTCTTGCTAAAGGTGCAAGCTGTGGCAGCTGGGCTGTGTTTGTTTGCCCAGTACATTCTGCATTAGTGGATGTCAGTTTACTCAGGAAAGGAGCAACATTTGCCTTTTCCTAGGTCTAGTGGGGCTCACTGGGATGGCTGAACCCCCCAACCCAGGGACTGGGGAAGCTGCACTCTGAGGGTACCCAAGGCAGTCTGTGCTTGTAATCCCATTCTATCACATGCACTGTCCACTTTCACAAGTGATGTCCACCCTTATCAACTCTTTACTTACATTAACATGTATTTGAAAGGATGCGGTGTAGGGAAGAGATAATTCTTTGTGTAAGACTAAGGTCAATACTGTGCTTTCCCCAGCTACAAGAGCTGAACCTTTAATGCCTCTGATCAGGGTATTGTGTGGCACAAATGTCAGGGATGCTACTCACATCCTGGAAGGCATGGATGGCCACCCTGCCTTGGTCAATAGGTTGTTTAGTAGCTCACTGATATGCATGGCACAGCGTTTATTCCCTGCTCATTTGTAAGACTGAGTCACGATCTGCTGCAGAGTGATGATAGGGAGTGTCATGTCTATGTGAATGTGCTTTGTAATCCTTGAATGGTTGGGGAGGAAGAGAGAAACACTTATCAAAGTTTTCAAAATTGTTCCCTGAAGGTTATTAAGGTGGCAGTGTGAGTGCCAACAGGGCCTGGTGAATGAGCATCTCAAGTTGTGTCCTGTGTGGAATGGTATGTCCTTTGTGTGTCTCATGTGTCCTTCCAAGGCAAGATCCATGTATTTGTGTTAGCAAGGACCCAGAATTCTGGACTGCACTGAAGAGGAAAAGGTTGAGAGTCTGCAGAGGGCAAACAGGCACTTGGAGGACGTGCACACGCAGCTCTTCCCTCTGGAAATCTCCTGGTGATTTTGGGGCTCAAGGTTCCTGAGGTTGGGGTGAACTGAACCTGTTCATTTTTCTTTCCCAGAAGAGACAGAAGGAGAAGACACCACATGTCGATGTGGGAGCCACGCAGCAGCCACCTGTATGTGTGTACCGGTTTGCGTGTTTGTGAATGGTTCTGTGTGGGTGTGCCGATATCGTCTCAGTCCTTGCTATGGACAGAGTGGTACTGGGTGTGCATGTCAGTGAGTGCATTGGTGTGTGTGTGCGTGTGTGTGTGTGTGTGTGCATCTCACACATGATCTGTGAACATGCTCCTTTCAACTTGTGCTTATGTCAGTGTGTGTCTAAAGTGTGTTGCCATGTGTTGCTCCCTCTTCCATGTGGCCTATGAGTGGCGTGTGTTGACGTTGGTGATTAGTATTGGTGGGTGTTTCTTTTATGTAGGTGGCTGTGTACAGCTCCGTGTAGGCCTTGTGAGGGTACATGTGTGGGGGTACATGTGAGTGTGCCCTTAATAGCTGGTATATGTGCACCACCAACCCATGAGGGAAGGAGTGGTGTCTGCCCTCCTGCCCAGTGGGTCCACTCCTGTGTGCTCCTTTGTACATGTCATGTTCATGCGTTCTTGCTGCCATGAATACTCATCTAGGCCCCTGAGCCTCAGTGCTCAGCAGTGCTTTTGGGAATGAGCGGATCGTGGTCAACGCAACATGGTCTTCTGTGGGTTTTGTTAGCTATGTAGAAGAGACCCATGGCTCTCTTACTTTTGGGTGGTAATGCCAAAATTTTTAGCATGAATCTGTTTGCCACTGTTCTCAGCCTTATTAGTATCTAATCATGGTATGTTGCAACTCTTGCAATCCCAGGCTGCAATATTAGAGGGAAGAGAGACCTGGACGGCAGTGGTTGGGGATGGACCTTGAGTCAGGGTCATTGGGGGTACAGTGTGGGCTCCAGCTGGTGCTCTGAATCAAAGGAGCATAGGGGAGTGAAAGCCTGGTGAGTCTTTGTACAACTGCCCTCTCAGGCCCTGCAGACATGGGATTCAGTCTTAGACTCATTTCTACCCAAGCCCTTGGCCACCACCGAGCAGGGATTGGAGTGAAAAATACTGTGGATTGGGCTGGGAGGCACTGGTCCATCAGTGGACTTATGCGTGGCCACTCTGCTCCCTGCATCTTTCTGTGCTTCCTGTCTTAAATCTGGGTTCTCCCATTCCCTCCCCCACCATGTCCCCCAACCCACTGTGGCGCCTGTGGCAGCCCTCCCTGGCTGGTGGCTCCTGGTGCTAACAGGCCCTTCTCCTTTCACCTTTGTCAGGAGGGAGCGGCGGCGCCGGCACCACATGTCAGTGTGGGAGCAGCGCACCAGCCAGCTGAGAAGGCACATGCAGATGTCCAGCCAAGAAGCCCTCAACAAAGAGGAGGCCCCGCCGATGAACCCCCTCAACCCGCTCAACCCACTGAGTCCCCTCAACCCACTCAATGCGCATCCCAGCCTCTACCGGAGATCCAGGCCCATTGAAGGCCTAGCTCTAGGCTTGGGCCTGGAAAAGTGTGAGGAGGAGCGCATCAGCCGGGGGTCATCCCTCAAAGGGGAGAGAGGGGACCTGACCAGTGCGCTGGACAACCAGAGGAGCCCCTTGTCCTTAGGCAAACGGGAGCCACCGTGGCTGGCCAGGCCTTGTCATGGGAACTGTGACCCCACCCAGCAGGAGACTGGGGGAGGAGAGACTGTGGTGACCTTTGAGGACCGGGCCAGGCACAGGCAGAGCCAGAGGCGCAGCCGGCACCGTCGTGTCAGGACCGAAGGCAAGGAGTCTGCATCGGCCTCCCGGAGCAGGTCTGCCAGCCAGGAGCGGAGTCTGGATGAAGCGGGGTGTCCTGAGGGGGAGAAGGACCATGAGTTCCGGGGCAGCCATGGAAGCAAGGAGCCAACAATCCACGAAGAGGAACGATCCCAGGACTTAAGGAGGTAAACAAGTCCCACACACGGCACGAGCTGGTGTTAGGAATTCTTCAGGAAGCCTTCTCAAGTCTCGGTTTCCCCTCTTATAAAATGGAAATGATACTAAAATACCTTTAAACTGTATGAATAAGTGTAACAGGCAGTGGGATTTGTTGCCCTGAAAATGAGTGTCTGTCTTTGAGGACATCTCGCTGGGAGTGGGGCAAGGTGCAGTGACAGGAATAAAGCTGCAGACCTGGCCAGCAGGCTCCAGCTTCTCTCCACCTCTGCGGCAGATACTTGAGTGCTGACTGTGCCCTCCTCTCTCTTCTCAGGACCAACAGTCTGATGGTGCCCAGAGGCTCCGGGCTGGCAGGAGCCCTGGATGAGCCAGACACACCCCTGGTCCTACCCCAGCCTGAGCTGGAAGTGGGGAAGGATACAGTGCTGGTGGAGCGGGAGCCAGAGGGCAGCAGTGAGCAAGCCCTCCTGGGGGACGTGCAACTGGATGTGGGCCGCGGCATCAGTCAGAGTGAGCCAGACCTGTCCTGCATCACAGCCAACACAGACAAGGCCACCACTGAGAGCACCAGCGTCACCGTCACCATCCCCGAAGTGGGCCCATTGGTGGATTCAACAGTGGTGCACAGTGAGCACAGTCCCTGTCCCCCTCTCCAATTCCTTCTGCCTGGAGCTGGGGACCGCTGGCTCGGGCCCTTCCAGTAAAACCACGGGGGAAGTCCCACCAGCATCACTAAAGAGCTGGCAACTAGTAAAATAGTGGCAGTTTCACCTGCAAAAATAAGCTAGAATTTTCTGGATCTTAGAATTTGCCTAGAAAAATTTTCTTAAGCTGTGGTCCTGTGATCGTTCTAGAGTCTACAGTGATCACTTGTAACTTTGTACCCAGGTATGCATTCAGCTAGTTGACTTCTCTGCGACCTCCCCGTGCTCTGCTGCCCCGTCAATGAGGGACCTTTGCTGAGGAGGACCTCAGCAGGGGGTCTTCCTGGCCCTGGCTATGCTCAGTCAGTGGCCTCTCTAAAACCTCTGCATCTCTCCAGGTCTCAGTTTGTCATTTACAAAATGAGAGAGTTGAACTAGCTGACCTCTGAGGCCTTGCTGTGGACTAGCATTTTTTTTTATTCTATTACTCAGATCAACTCTTTTTCTCCCAGAGCTTTTAGTCACATTCTCTCTCCATCAGAGTTTCCTCAGGCAACCAATGTTAATCTATGAAATTTAAAGGGAAACAACAAACATTTCCTCTACTTTTGCACCCTGCCGCAGTGCCCATTTTTGCATTAATCCTCCTCCCACCCCTGCCCTGATCACATCCCATGCCCGCATTAATCCCACAGCTTGTGACTGCCTCACTCCCGTGTCCCACCTGGTTTTCTTTACTTCTACTGCCCTGTGTTCCTTCCTTCATGTTCTCCACATGCAAAATGCCAGTTCTGTTTTTTCCTGGAATTGACTTGGGTGCATTTCAGGATCTGAGACTCACAGATTCTTTTTGTGTCTGTTTGATTCTATACTTAATGAGTAAGAAGTGTTTGGACTGTCTTATATAAAAAACAACATAAGACACCGTCCTCCTATTTCCAAAGCTAGACGGTAGCCTTGGTCATAGGTGTGAGGATGGGCCATGAAGATTTTTAGATACTTTGTATGATTTACCTTCCACGTGGCCCTGTGTGGGCCTGGACCACAGATGCTTCTTGGATCTGGCTGCAGGGCAGAGTCATTCCCTGAGCGGAGAGCAGTAGGAGAAGTCGATTGGGTCCCTCCCCCATTTCTGATAGCCCGAGCCTCCTGCCAGTTAACCCACACAGTGTCCTGCTTATGGAAAGAGAGCAGCAGTGGAGAACCCTACCTCACCCCCGGCTCTTTTGTCTTTCCAGTCTGGGAGTGCAGTCACACAGGCCTATATTCATAAGAATATTACATTCTTATAGCTACATCCATCATGGCTGGAAAGAGCACCACCAAAATAGTAGCCACAAGCAGAGGAATCATTTCTTGAAATCTTCCACTGCAATGATATCTCATTTCAAGCATATCAGATTTCAAATTGGGAGCCCATACTAGCTGTGTGACCTTGGAATAGGCACTTAGATTGCCTAAACTCAGTTTTCTCATCTATATAATAGGAATAATATTATATGCCACTCAAGGTGTATTGATGTGTGAGTTCAGTAAGGAACAAGAATTTGTATTAATACTTAAACTTTGTAAACTTTGCAACAGAAACAGCCCTGCTATTTGCCAGACTGTAAATATTTAACAAGAGAAGGGGAACAGATGACTTCATTTAGGTGGCATAAAAGGCTATCCTACATAAAACGTGGGCAAGGGTAACAAGAGGAAGAAAGGGCTTAATTTAGTGTAATGTGTGAAATCCTACCATGTTTGCAAGTTCTAAGGGAATTCCTGTGGTCCTTTCATCTCCTCTCTGTGCTGTTATCAACTGAAAATGAAGGGCAGCACGCATGTAGCCAAGTTACTAAAGATTTCAATACATTCCTTTTGCAGTTAGCAACAAGACTGATGGAGAAGCGAGTCCTTTGAAGGAGGCAGAGATCAAAGAGGAGGACGATGAAGTAGAGAAGAAGAAGCAGAAAAAGGAGAAGCGAGAGACAGGCAAAGCCATGGTGCCCCACAGCTCCATGTTCATCTTCAGCACCACCAACCCGTAAGTCACCCTCGTGTGACTCTTGTTTTGGTACTAGTGGAGTCAACCAGGGTTTGAACCAGGACTGGATGGTGGGGAGGAGGAAGGATAGGAGCCCAGTTCTCTTCCTAAGCCTTCTCCATAATGATGGAAGGTGCCAGGCATGGAAGCATCTGGGACCCATTGGGTAAGGTAAGATGGGTCACTAAGTTAAATCGCTTCTGAATGCTGTGCATACTCTACACTGTGACTGAACACAGGATGCAGGAGAAATGTGAGGAAAGGGCTCTTCACCCATTGTTTGGTCAATAGGTGGCACCGGGGAGAAGGGAAGTCTACTTGAGGATGTCAGCAGACGTTCTGGGGGAGAGAGCTGAGATTGTGGCCCCTGCACTGGAGTTTAAGGGTTTGGGTTTAAACTGTGTCCTGTTTATAGGTTTTGAAGTGGACATGTTCACTGGAACAGAGGTAGGGGCATAGTGAGCATGTCATGGGTAGCTCTACAGTTAGGATGAGGAAAGATGAGATATGGAAAGAGAAACTGTCTTCTGTGGGACATATAGACCAGGTTCTGAGACCAGGAGGACAAGGAAACTTTTGGTGGCCACGTGGATAGCATCATGCAGAGCTCTGGGATGGGATGGAACTTGGGTTGAAAGTGTCAGTTCGTCTAAGACCGAAACACAGCACATAGAATATAGACACTTCCAGCAGATCAGCCTGGGGGCAGGGTACGAAAACCCACTGCTGTTTTATCAAAAGACTTAGAATCAAACTCTGTTCCTTGGTGCTTTGTAAGTTGCTAAGAAGGCCTCAGTTTCCTTCGAGCAAGGTAAAGCACTATGGAGCACCCGAGCTTGTGCAGTCTGAGGCTGGCTGCTCTCATGACTGGGTGTGCTTATAGATAATGTATCCTGGCTTGCATGCTGCAGCCTTTAGCCAATCTGATTACTTTCTCCCACTGGAGCTGGAAATCAAGGGTGGTGCCTGAGAAATTAAATTGCTCTCCCTGTTGGCTTTCTTTGGCGGAGGTCTGGCTGTCTAAAATAGGCTGATGTGTGTAGGGGGTGGGAGTAGGAGGCGTGGGCGTGAGTAGTATGGGAGCCCAGCTTCTCAGGGCTCTACCCTCCTCCCACACACAGGATCCGGAGGGCCTGCCACTACATTGTAAACCTGCGCTACTTTGAGATGTGTATCCTCCTGGTGATCGCAGCCAGCAGCATTGCCCTGGCAGCAGAGGACCCAGTCCTGACCAACTCGGAGCGCAACAAAGTGGGTGCACAGGGGGCCATTTGTCAATCTCTGAAGTACCCTGGGATCCACCCAGTGCCTACCCCTCCCCTCCAGCATTAGAGGTGAACCAATATGGTGGGAAGGTTGCTGGGGAATGAGGAAGGATGGAGAAGATGGTCTTCCTGTTCCGCAGAGGAGTGCCATTCCCAGAGTAGGCCTCATGTCACCAACCACACCTTGTGTCTGTATGCTGCAGCTGTGGGTATTGCACTGAGCCAGCCAGGGCCCTGAGGGGCTCTGCAGAGACCTGAGGGTTTAGATGCAGGATCTGACATGGGGTCATGGGTGATGTGTGTGAAACTGGGGGCTACAGCTCCAGCACAGGAAATTGAGATATCTCTGGACATCCCCAATGGTGCATGTAAGATAAGATGGTTGTGAGAAGGAAAAGAACTGACAGAGATTCCAGGTCCTGGGTCAGAACTAGAATGAGGATTCTGTGGAACCCTTCAAGCCCAAGAAATTAAGCTCTGGCCAGGGACCAGCCACTGAACCTTGTGCCCCAGCAGGCAATGAGTCACTGAGCCATGTGCCTCTCCTCCGTGCATCCTCCTGTGAGTCCAGTTAGTGGCTGTAACCTCATGTCTTCTTTCTGAATGAAATTAGGAGGCAATGGGGTGGTTGTGCAGGACTTCATATGTCTGTGATGGCCTCACATGGTTCTCTTTCCTTCTGCCGTATGTATCTTGCAGGTCCTGAGGTATTTTGACTATGTTTTCACAGGCGTGTTCACCTTTGAGATGGTTATAAAGGTAAAAGTTTCCAGAAGAAACTTGGGCTCTGGGTGGGTCACCTGTCTACTTCTTTTGTTTCGGCCCCTTCCCTGAGGCTGTCATCTACTCATTCATGACAGGGCTCCAGGAGGGCTTCCTGCCCAGTGCACTTCTTGGCTTGACACTGGGTGCATGCCAGGGCAAGGGTTAGGCAGAGATGAATATTCCTAGATCCCATCTGGTCCCAGCTATAACTGTCCCCTACAACCGCTGTAATGCCCCTCAGGTCTTTATTATTCCCAGTTTCACCTGTTTAAGGTTTTACCCTTGCAGATGTGACAAGGTCTAGAGCTGTGGACCACTAAAGAAAGGAGGAATATGGCGGGGTTCTATAAAGACTAAGAAAGTTAGTGGCTTTGAAAGGAGGCCTCAGGCCTCACATTATCCAATAAGACCCTATTAGACCCCCATTGCTCTCAGACCCAGATTAGGGGTGCTGGCGGAAAGACGGGCAGTGGAGGCATTGCCAGAGTGAACCAGGGCACTGGGTATATGTTGCCTGTACCCTCTGGGCTCATCCATGTATGTTCACACCCTTGGCCTGCAGATGATAGACCAAGGCTTGATCCTGCAGGATGGCTCCTACTTCCGAGACCTCTGGAACATCTTGGACTTTGTGGTGGTGGTTGGTGCATTGGTGGCCTTCGCTCTAGCGTAAGTGGCTCTTTTCTATATTTTGGTTCCTTCCCTTCTCCTCTTCCTAGAGACACTGGCTGATCTGAGGCCTTCTCTAGGTTAAACTTGACAAATGAAACACTTGAAGTGGGTCATCAAAGGCTGCCCTGGACATCTGCTTGCCAGTTGCCCTCAGCAGAGCTTCTCAGGGCGTTACAGCTTCAGCCCATGTGCTCTAAACGATGGGATAGAGAAGTAGAAGGGAGCATCAGGAGAAGAAGTTAGAGGCCTTTGGAGATCTTTGCTGGAGATGGGTAAACGTGCCAGGTGCTCAGTGTATGGGCAGTGCCTACTGCACCCAGGGACAGACCCAGAGTTTTCTGAGGTGCCATTATGCTTCTTGAACCTGACAAATGAACAGGTTAGAGCATGTGGAGAGCAGAGCAAAATTGTGCATCCCAGAATCTTGAGTGTAGAAAGATTCTCTGATCATGGACAGGAATGACTGAAAATTAGTCTAGGGTCATAAAAGCCAACTGTTCAAACCTTTCCTGACAGCAAACTTAAGAAAATGGTCTTAAACCATTTAGGCCACTAAACCACATTTATTATATTTGGGAGAATTTTTTTCTCTATGCACATATCTAGCTGAAGCTGGTTTAGTCATATTTTGAAGTTTCCCGTGGAACTGGGCAAAGGGAAAGGGTTCTCCTAGCCCTGGAAAGGAAATAGAGATGCTTTAAGGTTTAGTCATATTTTGAAGTTTCCCATGGAACTGGGCAAAGGGAAAGGGTTCTCCTAGCCCTGGAAAAGAAATAGAGATGCTTTAAGGACCTCTTCGCTAACCAGATTTGGAGAGGGGCCTAAAAGGATGTGTGGCAGCCTTCTGGGTTCTGTCTGAACCCAGAGCATCTCTTTTCAGATGGCACCATGGAATTCCCCGAGCCTTCCTTCCAATTTCTTTGAGTACAAGTTGGAGACCTTGTCTACTAAACAGGACTAGCTACACTTTCTTTCTGATGAGATGAAAGGAAAACATCTAGCTGATTTCATGGAAGGCAGCTGTGTGGGGAATGGGAAAAGATGTGTCTACAGGTCTGCCCGTCCCAGGTCCAAATGGTCAAAGAAGGATCATATATCCTACCTTCTTGCAGGCACTGAGAGCTTCCATCACTTGTCCATCCTGGCAGATAAAGAAGTGTACCATAAGAACTAGAAAAGAATGCTTTTTCAGTGGCCTAGAGGCAAGGTGTGCTCTGTCTGTAGGAGAGGTGAGAGTTCTCCAGCTATTCTGAGTCCAAGATCTCCCTGGAAGCAGATTGTGTCCATTGCTGCCATGGCCACGAGAAACTTTCCAAGGAGAGCCCACTGGGGTGGTTGTGATTCTGAAACAGGTGGCAATCACAATAGCTGTAGTGTTCTTTGTACTCATGTGCACCAGTACCTTGACCCTGTTAGAATCATATCCAATCAATTTTGCCCTCAACAGACTTGGAAATGTTCTATCAGACTAAACTGTTCCAAAGAAATTTTACAAAAGTACACATGCATTCCTCACACATCAAAATTCTGTAAGAGTCTCACCATGACAGAAAGTAAAGAAATTCTGGACCTACCAGGAGGACTACCAGCTTCTCCTTCTTGAGAAAGTTGCCTTAACATGTTTCTGTCAGCCTGAAACATGATTGGTATGTATGTGATTATCCCACTGAGGAGCTTCTACCACTGATGGTACAATGGGTCTTTTCACTAATAAAATAAATTTTTAAAAGGCTGCCCCATAGGATTGTCATGCATGTACCTCCAGTGGTTCAAGCACCCAGCAGTGAGACCTCCTAATTATGGCCCTGTCATGAACATGTTAAACCCTGGCTTTGTCATAGGGAAGCCCACCTTTTTCAGGTGAGAGATAAATAAATTATTACCTTTAGGTTTTAAAAAGTCAAATTTGCTTTTCATTTTATTAGTTCATTTGCGTACATTATTCACCATATTGTTCTTCTCTCTTATTTTGATTCAGCAGAATAGTTTGTCTTTGTGGGTGAAAAGAGAGCAGCACCTAGGATAGGAGATATGGACATGAGGTGAGGTAGCACCTAGTTTGAACTCCAGCCCCTCTTCTTTCCAGTTTTGGGGCCCTGAACCTTACAGTTTCTTATCTCTAAAATGGAGCCAAATCAAAGCATGTAAAGCATGTCAGATTCTGTTAATGTGAGTGGTTGACGAGTATTAATTCCTTGCATTATTCTAATTTTCCCATATCATGTCATGAAATCTGGAGGTTGAAAGAAAATATGCATTGGTGCATAATGTATGCAAATAATTGAAAATGACTGCAGGCTGGTCCAAGACTTGGCTGTTTCCCACGCATGCACCCTGTACCCATCTTGTACAGACAGTGACCAGGCAGGTGCATTGGTGCTAGTGTGGGTGGGTGGTGCATTTTTGGGGAAACCTCGCCTTGCCTGCCCTGTGCCCACAGCCTAGCTATATTTCCCTGTGTTCTGTAATTTTGATGTGCTGTAGGGTTGTCATCTATCTTGTTCTTTCTTTGTGCTCTTTGAAACATGGTAGTGGTGGCTTTGGTGCTGGTGGCGGGGGAAGTCTTAACAGCCTGGAGCCGAAACCTCTCTGTTGGTCCTCAGACCAGGTACAGTGCAAGGGACCTCCAGAAATCCCCTGGTTTTGGGATCCATGCTTTTGTAATGGATTAAGAGTTGTGATCCATCGCTTGCTATTAGTGATGTCATCCCTTGAACTGTCTCTTCATTTCTCTCTGAAATGTAAATGGTACTTACTCATCCTTCTCCACCCACTCTCCTTTGTCATTGTCCCTCCAAGCTTGCTATGCCAATTCCTTTTCCCTTCTCTGCTTATAGAGCAGGCGCCTACTCTCCCTTCCTCTGGTCTTTCTCACATTTGCTGAAGTATGACAATGCTTTCTCCCATTCATATTTCCATGCTTCCTAACTCTACTCTTTCCCTTTTCTCATGAGGGTATCAGAGAATTCAGCTCTCCTAGCCTTTAGTGGGGTTCACAGGAGTCCTACCTGCCAGCACAGTGGCATGTCCTGGAAAAGAGTGAAATAGCCACTGAGTCCATGTCCCTCCATAGTCAGAGGCTCAGGTCGGCAGAGAAGCCAAATGTGGGGTTGTCTGCAGGCTTGTCAGGCATTTTTGTCCTTGTGGGTATAACTTGCGTTGCCATCCCATAGATTAGCCCTAGCAAATGCCCACTATTCAGATAACCTTACTCCTGCTCTAGTTTCTTTCTTTCCTGCTTGGAATTGAACCTTGTCCTCCTGAGGTTTCTGCAAAGGCATGCTTAGTGGATTTGAGCAATTGATAGTGGTTGCCATGGTTGCCATCATTATGTGGCTCCTCAGAAATCAAAGGTGACTTGCCATTCCTTCCATCACTGCCATCGAAGACCTTCTTAGAACCCAACCCAACTTGCAAGGGCATTGCCTGTCACCATGAGGAAAGAAGAGCCTCTAGCTGAATTCTCCAAGAAAGCTATGCTGTTTCTGAGCCCTGCTGCTGTAGAGATCTGCATCTGCCATCATGTGTGTTTCCTTAAAGCATATGTGTTGTGTATGTAGCAGCTGGAGAGAAATCTCTGTTCTCTATGGCTGAATACATCAAGTAAAGGGATTCTTTATAATGTAAACCTGACAAATTATGTTTGAGAATTTGACTGATTTTAAAGAATTGGGTAAGGGAATGTATGTTATCACTGTGGGCATACCAGGGGATAAGAAAATCAATGGAAGGTTATTTTGTAACTTTTTTTGTTCTTTCTTGTCCACTTTTACATTATAAAGCATTTATAAGAACACTCAAGTCTCCTAAGCCCAGCATCTCTGTAGGGAGGTGGGCAGGGTTTTGGCAGGGGTTGGAAACAGCTCTCCCTAATTCCTCTGCCCTCACAAAATCCCACTTTCTGGGCCATATGGAGACACGGAGTGTTTGCCAACTATAAATGTCCTGAGCTGTACCTTTCCTTCTGAGATTTCAATAAGAGTCTTGTGAATAATGGGTCAGTGAAACCTTTGTGTTTTATCTTTTTCTTCCTGCAAAAGGGAGAATCTTCTGTATAATAATTCTTTCCTATTTAAAGGACCAGAAACTGCTCTTCTCAATTTCCTCACACCCTGTTGCCATCGCTTCTGCTTCCTGACCTGCTGGGTTGGAAGGTGGAGATGGTTACAGCCTTGGCATTTCTGGGAATGTATACGGACACATTCCCTCACCCCGGGTACCACTCAGAGTCAGCTGCCTGTGCGAAAGCCATGTGACCACTATGTAGATTGCATTTGTGACCCTCACAGGATCTTGGATGGTGAAGATGATGTCTGTGTCCTCAGGGTTCAGTTTATACAGGGACTTGGACGGGCAGAGAGGTGGGGCAGCATCTCAAAGAAGAGAGCCAGAAGGTGCATGTTTGATACCTGCACTTCACCCAAGGGCCCTAATCTCTCCATTTTCACTATTCTACATGTTAATTGACAAATTCACTTTGCCCAGGAAGGTGACCTCCTTGGGTTACATTCTCAGTAGTAAGCCACAGTGCATGATTGCTTGTCAGCACAAATGTTTTTCATTTTTCATTTTTATCAGTACCAGGGATCGAACTCACGACTGCCTGCTTACAAGGCAGGCGCTTATGCCACTGAGCTAAATCCCCAGCCCTAGCACAAATGTTTTAATAGAAAAAGCCCCAGCAGTCCTGCTCCCTCCTGCTCCCCTGCCCGCAGACTTACTCTGGCTGTGCATCCGTCAGCACTCTGTGTCACACAGGCTTTCTGGCAGCTGATGTCGAGGCTTCTTGTTGCCATTTACTGTTTTAGCAGGGCATGAGGTGAGGTCAGGACTCCCTGGCATGCAGGGGGATCTGGCCCACAGCCACACTTGGCCTTTCGTTTTTCAATCCGTAGCCAAAAATGAAAACATGAGTCAATCTGCTTCTTGGTGCCAGAAGGAACCAGAGTTCCCACATTAGCTTTTATTACATTCTTTTCATTTAAGCATGCTTCTTT